GACATCTCCACACCAAGACACATCCTGGCTCCCGGCCTCCCTCTGGCTGCCGGACCCCACTGCCTGCTCCCTCGGACCACCTAGCTCTGTTGTGCTGCACGTGACTTGGTGATTCCAACATCCCGACTCAGCATCCACTGCACCCCTGGGCCCGGCTGAAGACCCTGGTCTCAGCTGCCATGCCGAGCCCCCAGGGCCAAAGCAGCCCCCACAGCCTTGTTGCTGGCTTCTGCTCCAGAACCCTGCTTTCTCTCTCAAAGACGGGCACGGATGGAGCTGGGTCTCCTGCATGTTTTACATCCGGAGGGAAAACTCCTGAGGAGCAAAGCCAGCAGTGGAAAGATGTCTTAGGACCGAGAAAGCAAGCGTGGCACAGCTTGGGGCCCAGCCTGCCTGGTCTGAACCTCAAACCTGTCGCTGTCACCAGCTCTGTGACAGCGGGAGGAGGACACAGACGGGGCTGTGAGAAGGCGTTTTCTGTCTCTGGAATCGCAGTGCAGGCAGGGAGGAGGTGAGGTGGGACGGGGCTGGGGGACCGGACGGACCGCTCGGTTCTTCCCAGTCTCTGAGTCTATGGTTACGGATCTGTAACCGGGGACTTGCCACTGCGTGGTCAGAACTCCTTGCACGGTGGAAAGCAGGCAGGCAGGCAGCTGGGTCGGGGGGCAGAGAGGACGGCGGGCCACACAGGCCCGGGCGGGATGCAGCTGCTTGCTAAGGCTCAGGGAACCTGTCTCACTGGGCATGGGCTTCCTGCAACCTTCATGCTGGCCCACCCTTTGGCCTTCTCCTTAACACCAGACAGGAGGGTCCCTGGGCAAGTGCAGGTGCCAAGTGCTCTGGGGCTCAGTCTCCCTGTGCGGCCCCCACTCGCCCCCCACCCCATGACAAGAACCTTTTATGCTGGTGTCATTTCCTGCCCGGGAATCTCTCCCAGGGAAAATTTCCAAGTATACAAATAGCTCCATAAACAATACTAACCGCTGCGTTCAACCTAATAGCCAACATCTGCAATCAACCCCAGCCTGGTAACTCCATCACATGCACTCAATAAAACACTGGTAATGACTAATATAACATAAAACAGGACAACGTGCTGGTTAGCAGGCCAGACGACAAGAGCAAAACATGAAGTTATTATTCAAGTTGGTTTAAATCAAGGCCGGCCCACAGAAGTGTAACGCAAGGCACACACGTACATTTTAATGTTTGAGTTGCCCTGTTTAAAACAGTTAAAAAGGAGGGGGCAGGTGGCCAGCACGTGGCACACTGGGTCAAGCCACCGCTTGTGGTGCCAGAATCTGGTATCAGAGAGCAGTTCTGAGTGCCAGCTGCTCTGCTCCCAATCCAGCTCCCTGCTAATGTGCCTGTGTGCTTGGGCCCTGGCCACCCATGTGGGAGATCTGGATGGAGTTCAAGGCTCCTGGCTTTGGTCTGGCCCAGCCCTGGCTATTTTTGTGATTATGTGGGGAGTGAACCATTGGGTGAAAGATCTCTCTCTCTCTCTCTCTCTCTCTCTCTCGCTTGCTCGCTCTTGTTCTCTCTCCCCCTCTATGTTGTTCTGCCTTTCAAATAAATAAGTGGATCTTTAAGCTTTTAAAAAATCCAGATATACAGAAAAGTAATTTAATTTTATTTAGCCCCACATCCAAAACAGTACTTTCAACATATACTAAGGATAGACGTCATTCACGGGGTTGTTTTCCATTCTTTGTCCTGTACCAGAGCTGGAACATCTCCCAGCCACGTCTGGCGTTAGGGCAGGTCTCAGTTTATCAGCCCCACTGAGCTGAGCTCACAGCAATTTCAAAAAGACGTCTGTGCTAAGCCAGAAGACAAAGGCTAGAACACCAGAATCTCAATGATGCCGGGGTTTTCTCCGAGTGCTGGGAACGTGTACAGGATTATTCTCCCTCCCTCCCCGATTCCCTGAGTATCCGCGTATCAGGAACTCACACCACAGCCAGGCCAATCCTTCTGATTTCCCAGCGGACGGAGAGATGTGATGACCTGACCGGGTGAAGCACGCCTGTCGTGTTGGGAACTGCTGACACTCTGGGCACCTGGCACCGAATCCTGGCTAGCTGGGTGGGAGGTGGGCAGGAGAGATGGCGGAACAAAGCGAGGCAAACGACAGACCGTAAACTAAACTCTCACTCCAACTTCCAAATCCACACTGACTGGATGCGCCACTACGTTTTTTTAAATTTACATTAATATTTTAAATGTTTACTTATTTATTTGAAAGGCAGAGAATGAGAGAGAGAAAGAGAGAAAGAGAGAGATCTTGCATCTGCTGGTTCACTCCCCAAATGCACCCAACAGCTGGGGCTGGGCCAGGTGGAAGTCAAGAGCCTGGAACTGAAGCCGGGGCTCCCATGTGGGCGGCAGGGACCCCGCCACGTGAGCCATCACTGCTGCCGCCCAGGGGGTGCATCAGCAGGGAGCTGGACTCAGAAGAGGAGCTGGGTTGCAAACCCACACATTCCAATACTGGGCACGGTATCCCGAGTGGCATCTTAACTACCGCACCCAACAACTCACCCCAGCTGCACAACTCAAAGTAAGTTACTTAACCATTCTGTGCCGTAATTTCCTTGTCTAAAACGCCAAGTGGTAGTAAGAGGTACGTAGAGTGTTGCAAGAAGAGAGATTATCTTGGCAAAGCATCTGACACAGCTTCCAGGAAAGCTGGCTGCTGTGAGCTGAATCCATGGTGGCCAGGCTGCCCCGCTGTCTCCGGCCTGGGCACGTGCTCATCTGGCTGTGCCCTCCCCCACAGTGCACACCCCTTGGTCTTAGCCATGGTGAAGCTGGCCCTCAGAGGTCCCTGTGCCTTGCCCTCATGCCCTGTCCCCCGCCCGCGTCCCAGCCTGCGTACCTGCACCAACTCGGGCCTCACACTGAAGATGTAGAGCCAGTCACTGAAGCGGGGGTAGCTGTTGAGCTCCAAGGTCCTCTCGCTGGGAGCCACGCTGAGCTTGCACTGCCGCTGCTTGCAGATGTACCGGACCAGCTTGGCCTGCAGGACACACGGGAGAGGAGAGCCACCCTCAGTCACAGCACAAGCACGCGGGCTATAGGCACAGGCAACTGATGAGACGAGGCTCCTGCAGGATTCCGTGCCTCAGGACAGCAGGAATGGGAGGAGGGGCGGGGGGCATGGGGAGGACTGGGGAGACAGCAGGCAAGGAGCCTGGGGGCCACCTGGAACCCCAGCCGGCTGACTCCGTCTCAGCCTCAGGACCAGGACTGTGGGGAGCAACCCGGACTGGACTAAGTTACTGGAATTAAGACTTATTCTATGCATCTGCTCTCCCACAATATGGCGCTGAGAAGGGAGAAGCAGCTTCTACACAGCTGCCTCCAGTTCAACCAATAAACAGCAGGACCTGCTCCTGATTGGAGGAGAGCAGTGTACTCGGCGTGTGGGTAGCAGAGTTGGGATTGGCGGAAGAGGACTATAAAGGAGGAGAGAGACAACATGCACCAGGAACATCTAAGGGGAACACCTGTGCAGCCCCCGAGAGAGCCGACCGGCGGTGTGCCGCTCCCCCGCG